TTATGATAGTTTGCAGGGGTCACCATTCTGAATTTTGTGTTGAGGATGAACTTGTTGAGTTTCCTGAGATCCAAGACTGGCCTCCAGCCCCGTTTTCTTGGCTGTTAGGAAATAATTGGAATAGAACCCACTTCTCCGATATTCTGTGAGAACCAGTTCTATTGCCCCTAGGGTGAGTAGCTTTTGTACTTCTGCTTGTAGTAGAGGCTCATGAGATGGGTCCCTGAAGAGGAACAGGGTAGGGGGTGTGGATGTGAAGAGGATTTTGTAGTCCGATTTGATAATTTCGAGGACCCACTTGTCTGAAGTCACGTGGGCCCATTCTTGGTAAAAGGGTCTCAGGCAATGATGGAAGGTGACATTTGGATGCGCTGGATCTGTGGAGTGGCCACTCAGTCCCCCGACCAAGACTTCAAATTTGCTACTTGTGTGAAGTCAACTGGGAGTTAGAGGACTGGTTCTGCTGAGTCCTCCTTCTGTTGGAGCGCTGCTTGAGCCTGTTGTCATATGGCCTCTGCTGTTGTCTGTAGTAGTTATAGCCCCATGGCCTTTGGTAGGGGGTGTATTTGCATCTTTTGTTTGGTGTGGGTATACGTCTCCAGAGTATGGCACAAGGGTCCTTCATTGAGTGTAGGACTTCATCTCTCTTTGTGGCGAACAGCTAGTTTATATCAAAGGAAGAGGTCCTCCATTTTAGACTGTAATTCTTTTGGGTCCCCTGATGATTGTAGCCATGAGGCCCTACACATTACAACTGCTGTAGCTGGAGCCCTGGCAGCTGTGTCAGCAACATCCATTGCAGCCTGGAGGGCAGTTTTTGCCATGTTTCTTGTCTTGCGGTGTAGACTTGGGTGTTTGGAGTTCTGATTAACCGACTCTATGATTAGCGAGTTTGGTTGGGGATGTGCGAAGAGGAAGTCCATGCCTTTTGCTGGGATTAAATATTTTCTATCCACCCTGCAATTTGTTAGGGGGATGAGGCTGGAATTTGCCAAAGAACTTGTGATGGTTCCAAGATAGATTCGTTAATGGGTAAGGCTATCTTTGAGGATGCCATGGGTTGTAGTACTGTAAGTAATTTATATTGTTTGTCTTGAACCTCATCGATACAATCGATACACATGTTCCCAAGGAGGCCACTGAGGCTTAAATTGTTGTGGAGGATACATCCACAGCTGGTTAGGCCACGGGAGATGTTATTGTAAGGAATGATCCTGATATGAATGCCAGGAAGCCACTGATCCTGATGGAGATGAGTGGCACAATGAAAATCTACTCCACTGCCTGCTACCGTAGTCAGCGTAGTGAACAGGCTCCTGGTCTCAGAAGTGTACCCAGATGAGGGGATTTCTGTAAATGATGCGTCTTGCACAATGTTTTCTTATGCTCCGGTGCCAGAGCATGTTCGGGTTCAGGCCGAGCAGGGATGGCATTTCGGGGTCTTTTCTGGCCCTGGCTGTCATATTTTGACAATGCGGTCACTTATGTGCTGCATGAGTCTCTCCAAGACATTTAACACAGGACGCGTGTCCGTCCGAAATAGGCACTGAGTCATGGCATGAGTCACATTTCTTAAAGCCACGAGAGCCCGGTATGCTGAAAGAAAAAGCCCAGGCAGAGGGTTTGGGTTTTTTTACCCCCCTTCAGGTAAACATTGAAACTATCATTACCTGACTAAACTATGAAGTATTACTAAGCTAACTATGCTATTTGTTTTGTTTTCCTGTCAGAAAAGAAGAGCATTGCTCTGACTCCATCTTCAGCTGAGGACAGTAGAAAAGCAACTAAGGGGGCTTGCGCCACTTGCGCACTCAATGAAAGGCAGGAGTGCAAGGCACTGAGTGCACAGGCGCAGCACGAGGGGCACTGCTCCCCAAAAACCTCTGATCAGTGATGCGAGGACACACCGAGACTTGAGTGACACACAGGGACACCACTCGATGAAGACACACTTCCTGGGGGCTTCCCATTTGCTCCCATTGGCCAGGATCTGAAGAATGCAAGCAGCAGGAGGCCGTGTTACATGGTGTCTGCAACAAGGTGCGAAAGCAAGTAAGTGCCCCCCCCACCTCCACATGCCCAGACCCTGCATCCCCACCCCCCTCCTTCATCCTC